TTGGAAAAATAAAGGTAAAGAATTTTATTTAGAAAGTGAGAAATATTATATAGAACCAGAGATAGAGAAAGAGTAGCAGGGAGAGATACCAGGGAGAGATATTAAAAGAAACACGACAGAGACAAGCAGATAGATACAAACAGCACACATAGGTAGGGTCAGAGACAAGCAGATACGAGCAGCACACACAAAAAAGAGATAAGAAGACAGATAGACGCAGAGAAGATTGAAGAATTTAAAATTTATTTTTTATTTATTAATTAAATTTGGTAAATAATATTTTTATGTAAATTTTTAGAGCCGAACCACCCCTTTTTAAGAGTCTGGGCAAATCTATTTAAAATAGTGATTTCACAGTAATTCAGACAACAGTATTTCGTAGAATATTAAAACATAGCTGGTTGAGTTCTTTAAAATAAACTAAGTGTAATTTAGTTACCTAAATTTAACAAATTTCAGACATCAGCTGTTCTTTTACATAAATTGGATTCTTATTGAATTCAAAAGAAATATCTTCAGGATCAAACCTGGTTTTACAAATAATTAGCCCCCACTATGCTATATGTACAAAAATTATAATGAAAAATTATCCTACGATAAATCTTATTTTAGTATAACTTAAATAGGATAATACAGTATGTACCTTAGCACCTTGCGTTTGTGGATTATTTCAGAGTCATAAGTACCTAAGTGTTATCACTAATCAAATAACTGCAAACAGTAATCAAACTTTGGAAAACTCAAAAAAAATATGGAAATCTTACTATATTTCCTATCAAAAAAATGTATATAACTATCAAATTGTTACCTGCAATTATAAGGTATAGTTACCCTTATACGAATTTGAATATTTGGGAAAATAAAGTGAGTCGCTGATGAATCCCTTCGGGTAGAATCTTGATTCGCCCTGTTCTTCATAAAAGGTGAGGAGGTAAAAAAAAATTATAGTGACAGTAACCAGCTAGGCTCTCATCTGTTGTATACTTGAAAGTAATCCCATGGGGCAGATAAGAGTTCTTCCTGGCCCTGGCATACACTTGTTCCAAAGGGTTGACCTTACAACATGCTTCACCACTAACAACCTAGGATGCTGTTGTAAAATGTCTTCTAATATCAAAATTTTTGTTTTTGGACTCGTGCAATGACGATCAACGATTCGTCTCCAAAAATGCGGTAAAAATAAATATGGCTCCACAAGCCACGACTCAAAAATATCAGTGCCTTTTAACACTGAGGCGTATCATAATATTGATACATCAAAATAATCCTTAAATGCTCTATAAATGGCCGTGATATCCAAACATGTGGCCATTAAAATTTATGATCTTAACACATCAACGCGTTGAAGCAAAAGGGACGGTTGAACCTTTTCGTTAACAGAGTTTAAATGAAAATAAAATCTATTATTCTATAGGCAACACACTATACACTAAAGTGCTATACGGGTTGACATACAGTAGGCACCCATTTCTCTGAAATAATCCTTACATTATAGTATAGACCATAGATAAATTAATATTAAATTAATATTAATTTATCTATGTTATAGACCAAGTTTGTTGCGTTATTGATTTATTTATTTATTTATGATCATCCGATTATGTTAATCGTTCGAATACTTATATTCGATTATTAAAATCATTCGATTATGCCCATCACTAGTGAAAACTAAAGATAATTTAATTTTTTGTGTTTGTCTTGATGTTATTTAGCCCTTGTTGCCAAAGTAATATTTATCGAAATAATTATGATTATTATCCATCAAATGAAGATCGTGTTCTAAGAACAAAATTCAAATATGAGGAGGAAATAAATGTAAGTAAATGAATAAATACCTTGATCTTACTTTTCGTAATATTTTAAATAATTCAACTGAAAAATGATCGTGAATCATTGTTTAACCAACACAATTTTATAAAAAATTCCGCTACTTCTGGCAACACTGAACTAAGTCCTGCTTATAGACACCTTTTCAAGTTTTCAGAGAGCGTATCACTTAGCTTGAATAGCGAATAGTAAAATTTTTTGATTTTTTTCTGTCTGCAGACTTCATTGAAGTGTAATACGAGCTATTTCATTATTCAGTCATGCTCTAATTCTCAAAGTCCTTCTCTGTCTTATTTGGCCTTCGAGGCTCAACTTGTCCGATTATCATACATAATTATACCCCTTAAGACCAAACATATGTGACAACTATGGCGGAGGCGCTTTCGAGTAATTCCAGAGTCAAAGTGATAATATTTCTAGTATTGATGAGAATTGGTGAAGAAAATTCTAGTACCTTCGCCAAAATTTTAAATGTGTATATAAATATTGGTGGAGGAACAACGCAGCAGTCAGTTGTATACAGGGTGTACCAATAAAAACTCCCAGGCCGGATATTTTAGTAAGTAATAGAGATATTTTAATTCTGTAAAAGCCAGTTCATAGGGCACTAAGAAAGCTTTAGTTTTAGATAAAAATTGATTTTAAATAGGTCAATATGTAGATGGCGCTGGGCTCAATAATTTTTTTTCGATGGGAGGATCTTTCTTGTGTAGCGCATCTTGTAAAAAATTCATTTTTAAGCAGATTTTGTTTTATAAACTAATTCGATAAATCTAGCCATTTTTGATATACAGAGTGGGTCAATTAAAACAATTTCATCCTGTTTTTCAGCATTAATCAATGAATTTTAAGAAAATGCTAAAACAGGTCGATTTTTATTCCAAATTAAAAACAATTTTACAATACAGACATCTGTCATGTGTCAACCCCCTCCCTTTCACTTCTCCAACACCTTAATTTTAAATAGGTAATGTACCATGTATGGTACATCATTGAAAAGGTAATTTAATGGGGGATTCAGAAATATTTCTGTACATTGCTTTACTTTAATTTTATCGCTCTCTAGCGGGATAAACAATTACTATGTATTATAGAGTGTGACACTACAATGTGTAGTACATCATTAAATTTTATGGGGAATTTAGAAATATGACTGTTCACTTCGATACTTTTAGTTGTTGTACCGCCCTCTATCGGGATAAAAAAACTGAACGTATTATAAAGTGTGACACTTTATTTGAAAGCAAATTTAATTACTAATTTAATGCACCACATAACATTAATTAAATATCCTCCATAATTGCACTTGCAATAGTTTGAAAATTAGTCATGCATTATTTTAAACATTATTGCAAAATTTATTTTGTTGCAAGTGCAATATGGAAATATTTATATTAAGGTTATGTGGTGCATTGAATTAGTAATTAAATTAGCTTTCAAATGAAGTGTCACACTTTATAATACGTTACAGGTTTTTTTATTTCGATAGAGGGCGCTAAAATTAAAAGTATCGCAATAAACGGTCATATTTCTAAATTCTCCATAAAATTACCTTTTCAATGATGTGCTATACATGTTATATTTCATATTTAAAATTAAGGAGTTGGATAAGTGGAAGGGAGGGAATTGACATATGACAGATGTCTGTATGATAAAAATGTGTTTAATTTAAAATATAAATCTAAATCGACCTGTTTTAGCATTTTCTAAAAATCCAATGATTGATACCTAAAAACAGGATGAAACTGTTTTGAGTGACTCACTCTGTATATCAAAAATGGCTAGATTTATCAAATTACTTTATAAAACCAAATATGCATTAAAATATATTTTTTATAAGATGCGCTATATAAGAAAGTTCCTCCCATCGAAAAAAATATATTGAGCGCAGCGCCATCTACATATTGACCTATTTAAAATTAATTTATATCTAAAACTGAAGCTCTTCTAGCGCTCTATGAACTGGCTTTTACAGAATTAAAATATCTCTATTACTTACCAAAATAAACGGCCTGGGAGTTTTTATTGGTACACCCTGTATAGACAGTGAAGATAAATAGTGAACAGTTTAAAGACATTCGAAATATATATAAATTTGAATAGTATTGTTTTAAAATAAATAAGTGTTTAAATAAATTATTAATAAATAAACAAACATTACAGACGTTTGCAAAATTATATTCATTTACGTTATTCTTTTTTTTTAAATGGAATGTGGATAGCTCAGTATCATATTCTGCTTCGACAACTTAGATCATTAGCCTCGTGTTCTATGAAGGTTATGGATTGTACTTGTTGTCTATCACTCCATAGCGAAGAATTGCTGGTACTCTAATTCTCCTGCACCACTACAGACAGGCCTTGTTACTGTCTTCCAGCGCCGCTTTAGTAATAGCACTGTTAATTAGAGCCCATCAGTGAATTCTCTGAGTGAGGAATCCTACCCATGCATCAAAATTAGTTTTAAATAAATGAATCGATGAAATTCGAAACGCTAAATAATTTTGATGAACAGGATTCAGGGTTATCCTTTATAATGTCGCCCCTTTTAAGTTTTTTGTTTCTCGAACTAGAAGAAAAATGTAAATACAAAAATTTTAAGGTTTATGTTTAGGGTTTATATTTATTTACTTCAACGAATTTCATGCGGCACACTAAATCGTATCAAACAACTATTATTGCACAGTTTATTGTGCAATAACGCGCGTCCGGTATGAGTTTAGTTTGAACATTTCCATTGTCCAATACGAATATGCGTCCGGCATAAATTAGATTTTACTTTTCTGATATCATCTTTAGTTCAGCAGATATAACCATTGTTCGTTTTTAAATTGTCACCCCGTATCGTATGTACAATCAACGAGACTGAATGTAGCAAAACTGATAAGTTTTGTTGTTCTTACAGATATTAAAAAATGTATACTCTGGTATATTTTAGATTAGAAGTGAACTTATTTCCCTTGTACAATAACTGATTGATAATAAAGTCTTGCCAGTTAACTAGCCAAGAAAACTGCCAACTAAATACTCTTTGGGCCTAGCGTTTTTATTGGACTAATAACATACACAATGCAGAGTAAGCCTGGTGAGACCTAAGTGTTGTTGGGCAACCAAGATTCCCACTTTACAAATATATATTAACTTAATTATAAAAATAAACTGTATTTTTGCAGACATCTGTCAAGGTAACCATATATTATGAAGGGTTATGTTACGACAGTATCAAATTCATAGGCCAACAACTGTATCCTCATTGGACTCAACTTTCACCATTTGTCTCTTTGGAATTAGTACCATATGGAAAAGCAATCGTAAGTTTTGTTTAAATAATTTTTATATTTCCTAAAACATAGAAATCAATTAACAGCAAACCTCACATATTTTTAACACCCACCAACAGCTTATATGTATATTGTAATTTTAATGGTGAAATCCGCAACTCAACATTCATTTTTATATTTAGTTTACAGGTTAAACTTGTTTAACAATTAATTAAACACAATACATCTTGGATGAAAGCAAATATGTTTAACCTTTAATCTTTCCTCGTTTTTTATTTTTTTTTTTATTATTATACGTTACCCTTCACATGGCAGAAAAAGCGTCTCCGGTTACCTAAAAAAAAATTAAGCTTTTAACTTCACTTTATTTATTTATTTAAGTTTTAACCTGATCCATAAATGTTTATTTCGTATTATTTTAGCTATAATTTTTGTCTTATTTTAACTAATGATATCTATTATCTATATCCCATTAGTATGTAATTGTTCAATATTTCAATTTGTATTGTAGGCACGCGAACAAGTTTTAAATACAAGTTGTATGAATTTAAAAAATACGTATTTTAAAAATATTTTTGGATATACAGGGAGTTGAGTTTTTGCCTGGCAAAATAATCTATATTTTAAGATTGATTTTATTTCAGTTTTAGAATGGTTTAGTAATACTCTATTCACTGTATTCATCTCTAGAATTTTTCTTTAAAATATTACATGGTTGCCAAGCAATTATTTTTTTATGAAATTAGAGAATGATGCAGTCCCCAAAATAAATTATCATAATTTGGCTAGGTTTACACTGAATTCAAAGTTGCTTAATATGCAGACTTACATGATACTAAGCTAACGAATAGTGGTGATAGAACTGGTTTATTTTATACAGAGTGTTTTGAAACATGTCTTAAATAAGGTTAATTTTAACTTCAATTTACTGAACTTTTCAAATGCAACAACCTGTATATTATTTTATCATAAAATTCCTTATGAATTTACCTATTCAACGATACCAAGATGTTAGCCAATAACACATATACAGAGTGTACCATAAGTGCGTAATTGATCTATAGCTGTTTTATTTTTGGAAATACGAAAAAAATTAGGTAATACGCATTGTGTTCTATCGGTAATCACTTGTAAACTAAATAATTATTTGACTTAATAATTAATAAAATATAACCTACATATTTGATTGTTTTTACATCATGAAACAATTTTAATAAATTTATATTATTTGCTATGTTGTATATAGGTTATGTCAAAATGCGAGTTTGCGATTTTTTCAATTTTTTAAATGGAATACTCTGTATTTTATAAACCAATTAATCAATATCATATTGATAAAAACGAAGAAATGTTTAATATAAAAGTTATATAACCATATTTAACAATTATTCCTAAATATACAGGGTGGTCCATAAACGAGGTGCTGACCAATTTTAAATCAAAACACCCTGCAGGCAGATATACATATTTGATTATTTTCACACCGTCAAACAATTTGACCTCATCCATTTGCTATGTTGTATAAAGGGTGTTTCAAAACGTGTGGTTATGATTTTCTCAATTTTTTAGATGGGATACCCTGTATTAATTAATTGGTGGTATAACATATAGGGTATTCCATTTAAAACATTAACAAAATCATTACGCCGCATTTTGACACACCCTATATACAACATAGCAAATAAATTAAGTATATTTAAATTGTTTGACGATGTGATAACAATCAAATATGTATAACTAGCTGCAGGGTGTTTTGCTTTAAAAATGTATAAGTTTGGTAAGAACCTCGTTTATGTGCCACCCTGTATCTTTAAGAATATTTATTAAACATGGTCATACAACTTTTATATTATTTTATTTTTTCGTATTTCCAATAATAAAACAGCTATTGATTAATTACGCACTGATGGGACACCCTGTATTTGTGTTATTGGCTAACATGTTAGTATCGTTGGATGAGAAAAATTATAAGGAAATTTATGCTTAAATAATAAACAGGGTGTTACATTTGAAAAATTGAGTAAATTGAACTTAAAATTAGCCATATTTAGGACATGTTTCAAGACACTCTGTAACAAAAAAAATACAGGTTCTATCACCACTATTTATCAGCTTATTTTTTTATAAGTCTCTATGTTAAACAATTTTGAAATCAGTATAAACCTACCTAAATTATGATAATTTAATTTGGGGTCTGCTTCATTCTCTAATTGCAAAAAAAATTATTTGTTAGGCAACTCTGTAATATTTTAAAAAATATTTTAGAGTTAAATACAGTATTACCAAAATATTCTAAAAATAAAATAAAATACAGGATGTGCTATTTAAAAAACATACATTTTTATTTGTCAGGCAGAAACGCAACACCCTGTATATTCAAAAATATTTTTAAAATATGTATTTTTCAAGTCCATATAACTTTTATTTGAAAATTGATTGCGAGTCTATAACACCCTGTATATGATTAGAAAATCAATAGTCCTAAAATGGAATACCTTTCATAACATGTAAACTGGTGGAGACATCAGCTTCCAAAATAACTTCATGGTAATTTGATAAAAAGCAAACGGAATTATGATAAAAACCAAATAAAAAAAATGATAATCTATTTGTATAAGTAGAGAGCAACTTAGAAACTAATATTTATTTCATCCATCGTTATTTGACAGAGCTGAACCAGAGATTGCCGAACAACAAATTTTTATTAAATGACAACTACAGGATGCGGCAGAAATAACACCCACATTTCAAACGGGGATTAACCAAAATTGTGCGCGGTATCCCCAATAACTTATTATCCAAATGTAGATATAAAAAAGTTATTTTATTAAAAAAGTACAACTTTTGTCAAGATATAAGCTAATAATCATTTAGTTATTGTTATTAGACTTCAGTTTTTTGAGTACAAGTAACTAGTTACTAATGGTTTTATCTTAATTTCAGTTATATCGATGTTGTTGTATATTTTGTATTCTCCAATAAAGGTACTTCAAAAGCCTATTTATATTTTAACATCTTTCTGTCATATCCTCAACTTTCCTACATCATTCCCCTCCTCTCCGTCACTTTATTCAATACATTTTAAATAAGGAAAATATCAACTATAACATATCATTAAAGGTAATTTTATGGAGAATTTAGTATTATGACTATTTATTTCGTTCCATTTGATTTTAGCGCCCTCTATAGGAAGAAAAATTATATTTTGAATTTGTCATACTTTCCCTATTTAAATTATACTGGAGAGATGGAGAGGAGGTAAATGATGATGTCAGTATGAGAAAAATCCCACTTTAAACAAAAATTGACGAGTTCGAGCGTTTGTTTAAAATGTTGAAAGAGTGATTATAGATCTGGTACTTTTTCATCAGGGCTCCCTGTATATGCATTTGGTTGTTTAAATGTTCTGCCGTTTTTCGTTTTCAGGAATTATTTTAGTTTCTTCTGACTTATTCAAAGAAGGGCCCGGTTAATATAATAAATCCACCAGGGATTCAAGGTTGACATTGTTTTACTATTTTTATGGGAATTTCAATAATCAGCTAAAACAAAATTCAAAAATCCACAATAACAACGTGAAATTAAAATTCCATTCCAATCGGGTCTTTTTAAACGTCTGATATTCGTGGAATGTTGACTTGTTTTTATTTATTTAATCTTAAATAAGTTATGCAGGTGTGTAAATGTATGATAATCATGTTGACTCTTTCTTTTTATTAATATATGTCTAAATTTGGTCATGTTAAATAGTTTGAGTTCTTTTCAATCTGATATCTAATAAAGGATATAAAAGATAAGAGGAATAGAAAAAAAAACAGAATGAGGCCATTTTACATTTTTTATATGGGGTGTATAGGAAAGGAGGACAATCTCATACGGTTGTTTATCTCAAAAAGTGTCCCCCAAAATGTATAAAATTAAGATGGCGTTCGTGTACTAGAAGGGAAAGATTTAATGATATATAGTTATATAGATAGCTCAAGCATATCTAAATCGGACAACGAAAAGCACTATTGTCGTATATTATCAGAATTGTGCATATACAGGGTGTACCAATAAAAACTCCCAGGCTAGATATTTTTTTTCTGTAAAAGGCAGTTTATAGAGCGCTAAGAGAGCTTCAATATTAGATATAAATTAATTTTGAATGGGTCAATATGTAGATGGCGCTGCGCTCAATATTTTTTTTTTTTTTTTTTCGTTGGGAGGATCTTTCTTATATAGTGCATCTTGTAAAAAATGCATTTTTAAGCAGATTTTGTTCTATAAACTAATTCGATAAATCTAGCCATTTTTCATATACAGAGTGGGTCACTCAAAACAGTATCATTCTGTTTTTCGGCATTAATCATTAGATTTTAAGAAAATGCTAAAAGAGGTCGATTTTTATTTCAAATTAAACACATTTTCACAATGCAGACATCTGTCAGGTAATTTTGTGGGAAAATCATAAATATGATTGTTTATTGCGATACTTTTAATTTTAGCGCCCTCTATCGGGATGAAAAACCTATACCGTATTATAAAGTGTGACACTTCATTTGAAAGCTAATTTAATTACCAATTGAATGCACCACATATCATTAATATAAATATTTTCATATTGCACTTGCCACAAAATAAAGTTAGCAATAATAATGTTTGAAATAATGCATGACTAATTTTCAAACTATTGCAAGTGGAAAATGGAGACTATTTATATTAATGTTATGTAGTGCATTGAATTATTAATTACATTTTCTTTCAAATAAGGTGTCACACTTTATAATACGTAGTTTTTTTTTATCCCATATAGAGGGCAGTACAATAAAAAGTATTGCAATAAACAATCATATTTATAAATTCCTCAAAATTTACTTTTTAATGATGTACTACATATTGTAGTGTCACACTTTATAAAACGTAATTGTTTTTTTCCGCTAGAGGGCAATAAAATTAAAGTAACGCAGTGTACAGAAATATTTCTGAATTCCCCATTAAATTACTTTTTCAGTAATGTACCATACATGGTACATTACCTATTTAAAATTAAGATGTTGGTGAAGTGCAAGGGAGGGGGTTGACACATGACAGATGTCTGTAATGTAAAAATATTTTAAATTTGGAATAAAAATCGACCTATTCTAGCATTTTCTTTAAATACAATGATTAATGGTGAAAAACAGGATGAAACTGTTTTGAGTGACCCACTTTGTATATCAAAAATTACTAGATTTATCGAATTAGTTCATAGAATAAAATCTGCTTAAAAATGCATTTTTTTACAAGATGCATCAAATAAAAATTATTGAGCGCAGCGCCATCTATATATTGACCTATTTAAAATTAATTTAAATCTAAAACTAAGGCTCTCTTAGTGCTCTGTGAACTGGCTTTTCTTGAATTATCGACTGTCGGCGTCCTTCTGGTACAGAAGCGCCATTCCAATTTTATACATTTTGAGGGAGAGATGATAGTTCCCTTAGCTTTACACTCCATAATTTTTACCCATAAGTCTAAACGCCGACATCATTTAACTAAATGTAACTGGTATTTTTTTAGCATAATTTAAATGGTAACAAGTACGAATTCTTTTGTCAACATGGATCAGCAGAATGTAGATCAAATAAATTGCAGGCCTGTCTTTTAAATCAGAACCTCGGTTCTGTCAAAGATGTCTCCTTAGTATACTGTATAATGTCTTCTAGGAATCCCGGATCATTTGACATTGCAGTAGACGTAAGTATCACAACTTCATTAACTAATAAAATTTAAAGTAACCACATTCATTAAAATTTATGGGTATGATCCAGGGCGACGTTTAAAAAATTTTCAGAGGGTGTAAGTCCTATAGGCACAAATTCGGGGGAAGGCAGATGCCCCTTGCTCTCGTGTGGCTGCTCCCATGATTCTGATGAACTTTGGCAGAACTTGTAAATGTTATCTGTCTGAAATTTAAATTACTAACAATGAAAACACATTTTAGCAGACTCATAAATTTTAATGATTGTTCTTGCAACCGGCTCTACTGTTATTCTCCTGATTTAACGACAAAATTAAAAAATATTTATGTGGAAAGAAATTTTAGAGTTTAATCGATACATTTTCTTAGTACTGAAGATAGAACACTTATTATCACATCAGCCAAAATATTCTGACTTCTAAGCAAATTTAACTTTAAATGTAGCTCTCATACTCAAGTTAATTTCCTTCGTTCCTCACTTAATGCTAATCACGTCACTCAAAGAGAAAAAGATTATAAAAATTCTGTAAAATCTTGATACTATCTTTGGGTACTACCAACAAAGCCTCAGGGCATGATAATATCCCAGTAAGGCGAACACGAACAGAGAAGATATTACACGAAGCGCACTGGTCTGCTGTTATCGATCACTTCGGTAACATCATCCTTAAACAATGTCAGTAGCGCCGCGCTTAAATAATTTATATACTCGACAATATTTGAGGATTAAAAACAGTCCACTATAGCATTGTGAAAGTAATAGATTTAGAATATTATAAATTTATTTCATAAATATTATGAAATTATTAGAGTAAACTTCTATTGTTCTAACAGTCGAATAGTATTTATGATTCACTTTCCTATAACCTAACCAGAAAATTATTCGTACTTACACTTCTATTCAATACCAAAAATAACTCAATCCTTATCCGCGCTAAATATTTCCTGGCAATACAAGGAATGAAGTATAAGTACGAGGACGAAGAATGCAAAAATTTAAACTCATATTCTTTGCACAAACATGAAACCCATTGTCAAACGATGATCCAAATTACCTATGCGAAATAATCAAATAACATCGACATTATTCACTACTACCATAAATCAAGATAAATAAAGTAAATCAAAATCGTTTTTGAAAAATCGATATCAATGAAGTATCCACCAATTGGAGAAGGAACAAAATCAAATTTGTTAAATAGGTCTCCGAAACCTTTCAAACAATACCCACTGGTGCTATACGTCACTGCGGGATTGGTGCTATTACTATACGGTGCAAGAGAAAGGTCCGACACGCCCAACATAGGGCGCAGCCATTTTGATGCCTTTACCATAGTTTATAGCTAAAGAATCACTTCGCTCATTCTGCGTCGGCACTTTTGATCTCCATGTTCCAGTTTATACACTGCGCAACTCGGAAAATACAATATATGACAACCGCCTATAATAAAACAGTAGTCTTCTGCGTATCCTGAATTTGAATCCCTGGAGTGGATGTTATTTTGGAACTTTCAACTGGTTCGAGTGAGCTAACTGATTCTTTAGCAATAAACTGTGACTCCAAAAATAATATTCACTGACACAGCAGCAAGCAAAATATCAGGTGCGTTTTAATTATCCACTTCTGCTTCCGGAATTGTCGGTTTAGTCGTTTTAACCTGTCAGATTAAAACAAGAAAACGGACAATTCCGAAGCAGAAGCGGATGATTAAAACGCACCTATTAAAAATATTGCGCCAAGATGTAGGCAACACGTAATAAGGGATCAAAATGGCGGAGTTTTCTATCACCTTTTAAAAGGCACTCAGAAAGCTGCGCAGTGTGACCATTCTCCGTATAGTAAAATAAAATCAAAGTATGTGGAGCTAACTGATTCTTAAGCAATAAACTGTGACTCCAAAAATAAATTCAGTGACACCACATACTTTGATTACTATACGGGGCAAGAGAGAGGTCCAACACGCCCAACATAGGGAGCGGCCATTTTGATTCCCGTGACACAGTTTACAACTAAAGAATCAGATCGCTCACTCTGCGTCGGTACTTTTGACCTCAATGTTCCAGTTTATACACTGTGCAACTCGGATAATACAATATATGACAACCGCCTATAATAAAACAGCAGTCTTCTGCGTATCCTGAATTTGTATCCCTGGAGTGGATGTTATTTTGAAACTTTCAACTGGTCCGAGTGAGCTAACTGATTCTTTAGCAATAAACTGTGACTTCAAAAATAATATTCACTGACACTGACAGCAGCAAGCAAAATATCAGGTATGTTTTAATCATCCGCTTCTGCTTCCGGAATTGTCGGTTTAGTCGTTTTAACCTGTCAGATTAAAACAAGAAAACCGACAATTCCGAAGCAGAAGCGGATGATTAAAACGCACCTATTAAAAATTTTGCGCCAAGATGTAGGCAACACGTAATAAGGGTTCAAAATGGCGGAATGTTCTATCTCCTTTTAAAAGACACTCAGAAAGCTGCGCAGTGCGACCATTCTCCGTATAGTAAAAGAAAATCAAAGTATGTGAGTGACACTGACAGCAGCAAGCAAAATATTAAAAATATTGCGCCAAGATGTAGGCAACACGTAAGCATCAAAATGGCGGAGTTTTCTATCTCCTTTTAAAAGGCACTCAGAAAGCTGCGCAGTGCAATCAAAATATGTGGTGCTATTGCTCTTATAACGTTTTTCAAAATTAGGCAATCGAAGTTAAGAAATCAAAAATTGGCAGCACCTATCAGTCAACAAGTGACTTTTAATATTGTTACCAAAAATGACGAATAAAGCAATCCAAACAAAATGACTATCAGTGGGTTTTGAGAGGTTATGATATGGCAAAATTATGGCAACCCTGTAGGCCTGGTAATTTGACAAGGTCAATAAAATAGATAGTTACATAGATTGATCATCCATATTTGTTAAAATAAGCTTATGTCTTGAAGTAAAAATGTAGGTAATTTTTTTTAGTCTATTCAAAGGCTAAATATTGGTTTGTAAACACATTTTTGCAAAATTGATTCTGATTAATATATGCTCGAAGACTTGCGAGGCAATATGGCCGCTCGCAAACGACCCGCTTTGATCAATCTATATAACTATATATGTATCATTGCCCCACATACTTTGATTACTATACGAGGCAAGAGAGAGGTCCGACACGCCCAACATAGGGCGCGGCCATTTTGAACCCTGTGACACAGTTTACAGCTAAAGAATCAGATCGCTCACTCTGCGTCGGCACTTTGGATCTCAATGTTTTAGTTTATACACTGTGCAACTCGGATAATACAATATATGACAACCGCCTATAATAAATCAGCAGTCTTCTGCGTATCCTGAATTTGTATCCCTGGAGTGTATGTTATTTTGGAACTTTCAACTGGTCCGAGTGAGCTAACTGATTCTTTAGCAATAAACTGTGACCTCAAAAATAATATTCACTGACACTGACAGCAGCAATCAAAATATCAGGTGCGTTTTAATCATCCGCTTCTGCTTTCGGAATTGTCGGTTTAGTCGTTTTAACCTGTCAGATTAAAACAAGAAAACTGACAATTCCGAAGCAGAAGCGGATGATTAAAACGCACCTATTAAAAATATTGCGCCAAGATGTAGGCAACACGTAATAAGGGTTCAAAATGGCGGAGTTTTCTATCTCCTTTTAAAAGGCACTCAGAAAGCTGCGCAGTGCGACCATTCTCCGTATAGTAAAAGAAAATCAAAGTATGTGCATTGCCCAGTCAATGACAACAGGCTCACAGGGTTGCCATATCTAAATATCAGTTCTCATTTGTCACCAATTTGACAGGTCGTTGGAATGCCTAATAACGATCCACATCATGTATTGTGTTTGGCCACCTTATATATGGTCTTTTTCGTTCAGGTTCATTGCCGAAAGCTGTCACTGATTGCTGTATGAAGTGATCAACGTCAACCTGTTTAGGGCAAATCAGAGATAACGGACATAAAGATAGAAAACGCTCACAAGAAGCCCATCGTCTGCGTAATAGCAAAATGTGTAACTCCACTTTTTCCTGAAATGCGAATTATAACTCCATTTAGTACCAAAATGGGAGATTTATCATCTGAGAAACGCTATTTTATTATTCTTTCAAATTATATTAATTTTCATAAAAACAAATTCCGTTTACATACGTTCAGAGGTTCTAATTTAAATTAGTTTTTTGGGACTCCTGTAAAATTTTTCTAAATGGAGTTACGTACTTTACTAAATACACTGCTTAACAAAGATCAGCTTTAACGCAGTTAACATCTGACTCATGTGGCGCTTTTATCGATATCAAACAAATAACGCAGCGGGAAATTTAAAAACCTGATAATAAGTGTTGCATAAATATCGACTGCACTCTTACGTTCTGGTAAATAAATTTAAATAATGTAATTACGCTAAATTATTTATTAAAAAGAATACTACAATTTTAATTTTTGATCGTTATTTGTAACATTAGCATGTTTGTTCTTATTTTCCAAACGAATGACCAATGGTGTCTTATTTAAAAATGTTAAGTGCAAACTCAGTAAAGGGAATTCAGATATTTTTCTTCCTATATCAAATCTTCTTCCTAACGTTTTGAAGCCGTTTTCTTGTTCTAAAACAATAAATAATAATTAAATACTTGTGACAAAAGTTGGCTAATATTTGTGTTACTTATGTTATGTTATGTTGATAATGGGGTGTTAATACACTGCGACCTAAAAGATCTATTGTGCCCCCTTCTGTCGCCACTGCACTAAGGAAATGTCTCAATGCCTATAGCGACCCTTCCAATCCTATTTTCTCAAGGAAGTGTAGGATTTGAAGTGGCTTCAAGTTAGGTAAGTCTCCCTCTTCTATTTGATATCCTCCTAGATATAGTGCCCTTGGATTCTGGAGTGCTACACATTCAGTTAATTTGTGTTACTTACATGACTAGATCTACTTTGGTTAATAAAAGAACTCCACATTGTGGTTGTTACATTTATTCATGT